TGTCAAAATACTCGAACGCAAAGAACGATTCATTGTTGAGAGTCGAGTGGCGTGAAGCGGCGCGCAAACACTTTGCGGCTGCGTTTTCGCTGTGCCGCGATTGCTGCTTAAATCGAACGCGGTTCGGCGGCTTCCGGTCGCGCGACACTAACGGGAAAACTGCGACGGCGAAAGCACGTTTCACGATTTTCCGATGTTCTCCGTTGACAATATATCCGTTCTCTGTCGCCGATGGTGCACGATCTAATAGGTGAACACCGAGTAACGGCGAACCGTTAGACGCATTGGCAATAGCAGCTTTCGCAACTTGCGCGTAGCTAGGAGAACAGGAATGCAGTTAAACGGCGCGTCGCAAGATGCTTTTCGATTTCCGACCAATTCGAAAGTCGCACAATAACACGACCCAGTTCCGCGGGAAGCGACGGACCCGGGTTTCGGAAACGTTGCGATAGCCTGAAAAACTTCCGGAAATCAACCACGTTCGTGTGTCTTCGCTCGCTACGTTGTTCGCTCGATTCGTACGCAAACAGAACCGCTAATGGATTTACATAGGGTGTTCTCGGAAAGAAGGACAGTCACCTTTTTTCAAGGTGAAAAGCTGCAGCCACGGTAACGATAATAAATACTAGCGCGAGCAAACAGCACTCTTGACTTTCATTTATTTTTCTATGCTCCCGAAGATCCGTTCTTACGAAAATCAAAGTTCCACCGAATTTCTTCTTCGCGAGCCTCTGGCTTCGCAGAAGCTTTTCTATCCTCGGTCGCCAGAGGGTTTCGCGCTTTCTTCTCGGGTCCTATACAAAGTGTCCCAAAAATGGAAATGGCGGGTTCCTCGGATCATTTGATGCAACTTCTTCCTTTACAAAAATGTTCTCCGACGCACCGTTAACGAGTTATTAACGAAAAACAGTGACCAATAAGAATCGAGTACGGCTGACGCGAGNTTCTACGAATTTCATACTTGACGACCTGCAGCGTTTCGCAAACTCTTGACCGGTGATCTACGATAGATCCGCGAGAATCGAAGGATCCATTTGGCTCGACGTACGATCCGCGAACGTGCGGTCGCGTTTCCATTTTCCGGTGTTCGAAACTTTGCCCGTGGATCAGTTTTTTTGACGAATCGATCGCCATACTTGCGATTATAACATTGTAATGCGATATTGTTATTATCATTAACATTGTAATGATAAACATTGTAATCTGAATCTCTACAGAATCCGTTGATCCTGAGATTATGTTCGATGTAATTGAATATTGTTGATCGTCGAGTCGAATGTTGTAAGACGATTTTCACGCTTCGGCAAGGTAGTCGCTTTGAATTTCCGCCGACGTTTAGTGTCAAAATACTCGAACGCAAAGAACGATTCATTGTTGAGAGTCGAGTGGCGTGAAGCGGCGCGCAAACACTTTGCGGCTGCGTTTTCGCTGTGCCGCGATTGCTGCTTAAATCGAACGCGGTTCGGCGGCTTCCGGTCGCGCGACACTAACGGGAAAACTGCGACGGCGAAAGCACGTTTCACGATTTTCCGATGTTCTCCGTTGACAATATATCCGTTCTCTGTCGCCGATGGTGCACGATCTAATAGGTGAACACCGAGTAACGGCGAACCGTTAGACGCATTGGCAATAGCAGCTTTCGCAACTTGCGCGTAGCTAGGAGAACAGGAATGCAGTTAAACGGCGCGTCGCAAGATGCTTTTCGATTTCCGACCAATTCGAAAGTCGCACAATAACACGACCCAGTTCCGCGGGAAGCGACGGACCCGGGTTTCGGAAACGTTGCGATAGCCTGAAAAACTTCCGGAAATCAACCACGTTCGTGTGTCTTCGCTCGCTACGTTGTTCGCTCGATTCGTACGCAAACAGAACCGCTAATGGATTTACATAGGGTGTTCTCGGAAAGAAGGACAGTCACCTTTTTTCAAGGTGAAAAGCTGCAGCCACGGTAACGATAATAAATACTAGCGCGAGCAAACAGCACTCTTGACTTTCATTTATTTTTCTATGCTCCCGAAGATCCGTTCTTACGAAAATCAAAGTTCCACCGAATTTCTTCTTCGCGAGCCTCTGGCTTCGCAGAAGCTTTTCTATCCTCGGTCGCCAGAGGGTTTCGCGCTTTCTTCTCGGGTCCTATACAAAGTGTCCCAAAAATGGAAATGGCGGGTTCCTCGGATCATTTGATGCAACTTCTTCCTTTACAAAAATGTTCTCCGACGCACCGTTAACGAGTTATTAACGAAAAACAGTGACCAATAAGAATCGAGTACGGCTGACGCGAGGCGGCCCAGCCAATCAGCGCACGAAGCCCAGTTCCGCTCATTGGCTCGGTCGCCTCGGGCTAGCTGAGCTGGGATTCGACCGCCTCGACCGCTGGCGCCGTTGGCTCGGCCGCCTCGCGCCAGCTAAGCTCGCCTCTCATTGGTCACTGTTTTTCGTTAATAACTCGTTCATGGTGCCTCGGAGAAAATTTTTGTAAAGGAAAAAGTTGCTTCAAATGACTCGAGGAACCCGCCACTTTCGGATTGCGAGACATTTTTGGGACACCCTGTACTACGGGACTTTGGCTGAAACTTTGTTTGTAATAAATAGATATGGACGATTATTATTATTGGTTTAAGGAACTACACTCGGCCCCCCACCTCGACGGCCGTGGGTTAAGAACTAAATTAAGAACGTCAGTTTATTTGTGCCGCGGAAGATCTCGCGTCGAAACTCCAGAGCGGAACAATTACAGAATTCGGTGGTATACATGAAACCGGCCGTAGTCACATTTCGTCGGAATCGCGTTGGCAGCTGGCTTCTACGGTAAAACAACCTTCCCGGAACTATTTAAAATTCAGGGGAACCTTGCAAATTCGATTCGGGGAAGTTCTTGAAACCATAATTGTCCGCGAGTTCGGTGTTCAGTCCACGGGTTACGTGATCTTAATCACGATCGATCGTTAGGGCAAGCCTCTCGTGTTCCGTGTTTTCACGAACACGCCGGCGAATATTAATATCGAAAATGCGTCACGCGGTCTAGACAAATTACGGTTTCCACAATCGGTTGCCGATATTCATTAGGCCCTGGGATAAATCTCTATAGCAAAAAGTTGCTTAGGTTTCGTAATATCTGCTTTTCAGTACATACTAGGTTCTTTAAAAAAACATAACTCTTCTTCCACTGGAACACAAGGTTGCAATAAATGACGAACGGATATGATTTATACATCGTAATAAACATGTGCTTAAATTAATAGGAGTATCGCAGACTCTGGAGCAAACGAGGAAACATGGATAACATCTTCTCGTCGATCTTAACGTGTATTTATCGATTTTATAGTTTGGAAATCATTTCTATCCTGGTGAGAGAAATTGAAAATGCAGCTACGGAGTTGCGTGGACCAAAATGGCAGCGGCGATGATTACAGGCGAACGGGTATTCAATCCTTTTAGGACAACGTGATTCAGTTTGAAGATTAAAATTACTTCGCCTGTTCTTCTCAATGAGAAAATGCGATGAACGTGTGATGATGTGATCGCTAGTCAGGGAAACGGAATTCCTCGTTATTAACTTATAAATAGTTGCTCGGATTGTTATCGCTTTTGTAAGAATAATTTGAAGTCCATACGGAACACGGTACGCATGACTTTATAAACGCAAAGTATTTGCGCGGTTTCTCTCGAGAAACGCGACCGGCATACTCATTCACCGTGTCCGTTCAATGTGCATGGAAATCCTGAATCGACACGTACAAAATCCTACGACGGCTCGAAATTAATTATCTCCTAACATCTATGACCCAATGGTCCACGAGAGACACGGATATTTATCGCTTGCATGCGCTGCTAAAAAAATACACATCGAGCTGTTTAACATTGTTTCATATTCCGATCGCATTTTTTTACATCTACTCCACTATCTCTAAAAACGTGTTAAATATTTTATATAGACATATGTATGAGATCCTTACTATTGCGCACGTTTAAACTTGTACATTTAAATTGTATTAGATATATTGAATATCTATTCAAGACCTAAGTAGTTTTCTACATAATTTGCCGTTGAAATTATACTTTCAAATAGTAAACAAATTCTACCTCAGTATTTTCGTTGTTTTTTAATGCTGAGGATAAGCAATCACCGAAATGTGAGTTAGAATGTCCTACATATTGTACACATATACATATGTATAACTAAAACATAATCTGTTTCATAAAAAACGAACTTTTAAATATTTCCTGTATTTAAATGATCCGATGCAAATGTTGAGTTCCGGGATAAAGTTATGATTACGGGATCGATCAGTCTTATTCTTAAGCAACAAAATTGATTTCGAGAAATGAAAGAAGTTATGCAAACACTATACATAAGCATAACCTACGAAGAGTGAAAATGCCGAGATTGTAAACGTACCGTAAAACTTATCCGAAGGAAACTAAGAAACGCTTCTGACAGAAATCATCCTATAGAGATCTGCATGTCAGCCAATTTGTATTTGTTTTTTCTATCACAATTTCACGTTTTAATTAACATTTTACACACTGTTTCCATTGACAGCATACTCAATGATACTCGAGCATACTGCACTTCTGCACTCTCTAATGCTCTCTAATGCGAATTCAACGACATCTGGGGTATTCCGCGCGAACTATATTCTTAATTCGAACTATCTGCGAGATGATACGAACTGATAACATCAATTAATTATGTATCATGTAACAATTATATTTCTCACGATGTAAATCACTCAGCATATTAATTACGAATAATATATATATCTATTAAATACATTTTTATGTATTGCATAATTTATACCATATTATAGATTTTTAGTATCTACGCAAGTGCATATTACTGAGCGTACTTTGTGTATATACATATATTTTGCAAATTCATGGATATAGTTTGCATATTTACTACATATTGTCAGTAAATAGTTGTTGTAAATATTGTGTCAGTAGTCAATGTTATTATTACATAGAAAAAATGCCACATGTTGTATGGCAATGCGTAGTTCATTCTTATGTATCTTTCATATCTTTATTTCAATGTTACAGGCAAGAAATTTCCACTTTGTTACAATTCCTCTACTTTGCATATAGCTATTTCATGTCACATATCTTTTTCCTTCATTCACTTTATATTGTATAATAATTAAAATACATATATTTTTCATAAAGAAATCTTATTTATCGTTGTACTTAATTATTTTATTTAATTATAAGAAATATTCAAATCAAATATTTCGCTGTGATCCCCAGCTGTTTTGATGACTGTTTTAATGGAATAAGGGTCTATTTTGCTGGAAACTGTCAGGATGAGCTATTAAATACAGTACAAACAGGTATAACTTTAAACAGAGTTATCTCAGAAAATTAGAAATGTATCATAAATTGTTATTCAAGATTCACATTCAATTACAATCTATTATTCGAATTACTTATATATATATCCATTTTTTGTTCTTAAATTTGAAATGATATCGTAATAACTTAAAATACCCACTTGTTCTTTTCATTTCAGTTTGATTTTTGTGTATCACTGGAATGTCTTGCATGATTCATCATAGATTCTACTCTATTAGCGGTTTCTCTTACAACATCGGATATTTCATCCGGTAGATGATCTAAGGTAGGAATATGTGCAGACAATCTTTTATACACAGAATCTCTATTACTATCCTTCTTATGCCTACGCTGTTCTTCATACTTTAATTGTTGCTTGAAGAATATTGCACTTTTGATGAATTCCAAGGTATTTTCAAAGCTTTTTCCAGCACCGTGCATTGTTTTAACAGCACTAACAGCATATTCCACATCATAGCATCTACCTAAAAGTTGTTGTTGGAGAGCCAATACTTCTACACGCTTCTCCACCATTGGAGGTAACGCTTTTCTCACGTGTTCTTGAAGTCTATAGAATGCAAGAGACGGTTCATTTGCAACTATGTGCATGTTCTCAGAAATTCGTTCGGTCGCTGTAAAAGAAATGGCGAATATTTTAGTAATTAATGTAACAATAGAAGGTAAAAACATTTTAGCTGAGAATACTATAACCTTTTTTGACCCTTGTTTCTAGCTCTTGATCCGATTGATAGACTTTCGCAGCCATTGTTCAGATATTCGTATTAATCGTGTTAATGCTAATGTAAGTATATTAATGATAAATTCATGTTGACAAGTCTTCAGTGTTAACAAGACTACTGTAAACACTCGGTGACAGATCGATTTGTTTTGGCCGCCATTTTCTTAAATACTTGTTACCGGAAGTCAACCATTCACACAACGGTGTGTTCCTTCATCGAGACGTGGCAGCAAAGTGTGTGCTGTTGGCACTTCTCTCAAATGTATTTTCTAGTTCTTCTTATGGTGTGATTGTTTCGCTGTCGTAAGTGACACGAGTTCCGACGTAAAGCAAGGTAAAAGCTGATAAAACCGACAAATTATTCAATGAAAATCTATCTAAATCCAACGTTTCGATTGTAGAATTTCAAATGAGATTTTACAAGATATTTGTCAAGCAAATTCGAATTTATGTTCAATGTGTTTAAGTGATAAATCAAGAAAATACTTCTCCGAATGAGATAAAGTAGTATTTTTTAGCGAATAAAGTGTGCACGATTTCACTTGTCCCACTATAATACGTACTTTTCTTTGAAATAAAGCGATCAACTTATTAACTTATTTAAATATTTTAGCATGAAGTGGCACATAGCATTTGCAGCATTTGCTGCTTTAATCCTGACCATACACGCCGAAGAAGAAGAAGAAGCTGCAAGATTGTTAGTATCGAAGCAGCTACTTAACAAATACCTCGTCGAGAATATGGACATTGTGATCAAGGTTATTATCAAAATATGTTTTTTAAACTCTTGTTTATATATAGTATAACCTCTATTTATATCTTCATGTATATCATTTGTTTAAAGTACACAGTACATAATGTTGGAAACTCTGCTGCATTGGAAGTAGAAATTACAGACAACTCTTTCCATCCCGATCATTTTACTCATGTGAGTGGGGAATTGAATGCTAGAATAGACCGTGTTCCACCTTACACGAATGTCAGCCACACTGTTGTTGTAAGGCCACGTAAATATGGATATTTCAACTTCACATCTGCGGAGATTTTGTATAAAACTAAGGAAGATGCACCCAGATTACAATTTGCTTTGAGCAGTGAACCTGGCGAAGCAATAATTGTATCTTTCAGAGATTATGATAAACAATTTTCTTCTCATGTGGTAAGTAATTATATAGTTTTTATTAAATATAAATATTTTTCTGAATATAATTATAAAATTGAAAAACTTTTTTCCAGATTGATTGGGCTGCATTTGCTGTGATGACATTACCTTCGTTGGCTAGTCCCTTTATGCTATGGTATTCTAGTAAAAGTAAATATGAAAAGTTATTAAAAACATCAAAAAAGCATTAATTATGTAGATTCCTATTAAGTTATTCGAAGGAGGTTGCTTTTTCACACATTTGTAAGAAAAACCAGACTGTTCCGTCTTGTACATCTAATTTTATAATAAATATTATCTCTAAAGAAATATAACACCAGTGTTCAAATCAGATTTGTGATTATTTATAAACAATTAAAGTACTAATTAGGTTCAAATATATGTACAAAAAATTACTAAATTGTACTATAAAACGCTTTTAATTTTTACAGTGTATAATATACATTGTTCATACAGTTGTACTTACACAAGATTGTCTACATCTATCTTAATATATAAGTGGAAATCATATTTACGCTGAAATGACCGTTTATAACAAAATATATGGAAAATTAATTACTTATAATAAAAGACAAATTATAATAAAATATACATATATATATAAAAAAAGCAATGTAGTTACTATATTTGTATTAACACATGAAAGCATGTGTACTATGTAAGTAAATTTATAGTATCATTGTGATCACGTAAATTATCAGCTATATGACTAGGAACCATATACCTCAAATTTCTAAACAAAATATAATCGAACGCATCCTAGAAACATACCTGCATTAAAATCCTGTGTCAGTTTTTCTATCAAAGTATAAAATTGTATAACTTAAGATTCTATATTACAGAATGTACATGTCCTTATGTGTCCGTAAGTTAGTATCTATTTGTATCATCGCTAAATGTAACAAACTTCTCTTTAAGTCTTCAATTGGTTTCGTAATGAAAATGAGTTGCAATGGCAATCAATTAAGGCACCAGTTTCTGACAATCAAATATTTGTTTCAAAATGAAACTAGTGAGTACCCAACAGTTTAGTTGTAAGTACTATGTACCTTCACATTAAAGATGATACCTTATCACTTTTAATTATGTGTTTAATGATCTATTTCGTTTGCTTGCTGAGTAAAAACCACGAGGATCGCCATAAACCGGATCAAACGCCGAAAACTGTCTTATTGGTGTTATGGGAGTTCGCGGGGTAGACATATTTGTACTATTCATTGTAGTCGAACAAGGGGTACTAGTTTTCTTTAATTGTGGAGGACATTTGTCAGCTGCAACACATACCAATATTATCATTATTGCTATTGTTATGAGACGATATAAAAATAATGATGCCTATATTAAAGTAATAAATTACATACCGAAAACTGTCCTATTCTTTATATTTAAATCAATATTCGCCATTTTATTCTTCCATACTGTTAAAAGAAAAAAAGATAAAATATTAACAAAATACTCATGAAAAATAAAAACATTTGAGTTAAAATGAAGAAAATACGTACTATAAAAACAAGTTATTACAACGACTGCAAACGTTCCGAAAGTGTAACGATGGAAATACATGTAATCCACCCAATGAATTCCAGACAGAGGTATGAAATTTTCGTATTTTGTAACGCGTACGAAAAGCTGAATAAGAAATATAAATTATAACAGGATCATGACGTATTCATAATCTATTATTTAAATACTTACAGATATATTCTGTTTCGTCACATCATTTGCGACGATAACTTTTTGACCTTGAATTTCATCATGATTATGCATTAACCGTAATTTATACTGCATTGTTGACTTTGAAATATACTGCCGTGCAGACACGGTCATTCCATTGGGCACATCGATCTAAAAAATATTAATNATATAACACCAGTGTTCAAATCAGATTTGTGATTATTTATAAACAATTAAAGTACTAATTAGGTTCAAATATATGTACAAAAAATTACTAAATTGTACTATAAAACGCTTTTAATTTTTACAGTGTATAATATACATTGTTCATACAGTTGTACTTACACAAGATTGTCTACATCTATCTTAATATATAAGTGGAAATCATATTTACGCTGAAATGACCGTTTATAACAAAATATATGGAAAATTAATTACTTATAATAAAAGACAAATTATAATAAAATATACATATATATATAAAAAAAGCAATGTAGTTACTATATTTGTATTAACACATGAAAGCATGTGTACTATGTAAGTAAATTTATAGTATCATTGTGATCACGTAAATTATCAGCTATATGACTAGGAACCATATACCTCAAATTTCTAAACAAAATATAATCGAACGCATCCTAGAAACATACCTGCATTAAAATCCTGTGTCAGTTTTTCTATCAAAGTATAAAATTGTATAACTTAAGATTCTATATTACAGAATGTACATGTCCTTATGTGTCCGTAAGTTAGTATCTATTTGTATCATCGCTAAATGTAACAAACTTCTCTTTAAGTCTTCAATTGGTTTCGTAATGAAAATGAGTTGCAATGGCAATCAATTAAGGCACCAGTTTCTGACAATCAAATATTTGTTTCAAAATGAAACTAGTGAGTACCCAACAGTTTAGTTGTAAGTACTATGTACCTTCACATTAAAGATGATACCTTATCACTTTTAATTATGTGTTTAATGATCTATTTCGTTTGCTTGCTGAGTAAAAACCACGAGGATCGCCATAAACCGGATCAAACGCCGAAAACTGTCTTATTGGTGTTATGGGAGTTCGCGGGGTAGACATATTTGTACTATTCATTGTAGTCGAACAAGGGGTACTAGTTTTCTTTAATTGTGGAGGACATTTGTCAGCTGCAACACATACCAATATTATCATTATTGCTATTGTTATGAGACGATATAAAAATAATGATGCCTATATTAAAGTAATAAATTACATACCGAAAACTGTCCTATTCTTTATATTTAAATCAATATTCGCCATTTTATTCTTCCATACTGTTAAAAGAAAAAAAGATAAAATATTAACAAAATACTCATGAAAAATAAAAACATTTGAGTTAAAATGAAGAAAATACGTACTATAAAAACAAGTTATTACAACGACTGCAAACGTTCCGAAAGTGTAACGATGGAAATACATGTAATCCACCCAATGAATTCCAGACAGAGGTATGAAATTTTCGTATTTTGTAACGCGTACGAAAAGCTGAATAAGAAATATAAATTATAACAGGATCATGACGTATTCATAATCTATTATTTAAATACTTACAGATATATTCTGTTTCGTCACATCATTTGCGACGATAACTTTTTGACCTTGAATTTCATCATGATTATGCATTAACCGTAATTTATACTGCATTGTTGACTTTGAAATATACTGCCGTGCAGACACGGTCATTCCATTGGGCACATCGATCTAAAAAATATTAATATTTATAGACATGTTCTTAAATCATTTTCTTAAAAAAAAAAAAAGCTGAATGTACCGTGAGATGATCTAGAACAGACTGCAGGCCATAGATTTCAAGTGTAGCAGTTGGAATCGTTTGAGAATGAGTATTGATAAAAATAATTTCTTTAGCATCTATATAGACTGGTGGTAGATATGCTACTTCTAATGGAGTAGCTTCGATGTCCTTACTTTGAGCGCTTATTTGAATGCGACTTTCGAATGTGCTGGAAATTATGTTTGGTGAGCCCATAGGTATTACATCGCAGTAATAAAAGCCTGTAAAAGGAAAATGCACATGTAGAAAGTAGACAATGCATACTTCTTTATTTTTTCAGTTTAAATACCAACCAGTTGAAATATCGAACCGTGGTTTAACAAGAAACAAGTCCTTCACTCCCACAGATGAAGTGGGTGAAACCAGTTGCACATTACATGTGTAAGGAAATGAATTCAATCCAAACGAAGTAAATGTTCTACAACCGCCTAGACCTCTGGACAATACATTGTTCTCTTTAACTTGCTCGTCCTTACTCTTGAGAACAAGAGGAACGCTGAATGTTTCAATTCCCGTGATATTTCGACCCCTCAATGGAACAATGGATACCTGTAGAAAAATAAATCTGAAAATAGCGACCATTCTAAAAATGTAGCATACAGCATAAAGAATCAATACCTTTGCGATAGGTTGAATATTGACTTCAATTTCACCTTGCATATGAGTCGCAAGACTGTGTTTTACAATTGCATAGCCCAAATTCTTTGCTCTTCCTATTCCTGTAATAGGATCAACAGTCAAAACATCAGGAGCGGAGGATTGCCAATAACCAGGATCTCCGTCAGAAGATAAAAGTGGCATCGAGAAACACACTATGTCACCTACGGTTAGCGTTGTCTAAAAAATAAAATAAAGGCAAAGAATAAAATATAGCAGTTACAAAATGCTTAAAAAGTCCGTAGACTACCTTTGTTGGGAAGACTATGTCTCCAATCATCATGTGTACATAATCGAACATTCCATTGGGATATTTTTCATTGAACGCCTTCACAACGAGGTCTCCATTTTCAATGAATTTAGCAGAGACCACGTTTTTAGTGTTTATAGTAAATGAGGTTAGATCGGCGCGATTCAGCATTGTTTTAGCATTTACAGCTGCAGCGTGAAATTTAGTCCCGACATTATCATAATATTCTAGTGCGTAGTCCAGTGCCATACCCTTGGGCAACATATTTAACTCTTCTCCATTTCGAATTCGCAGAATCGTCTTCAACGACAACATCATGTAGTGAACCGGTTTGATCTGTAATAAAATAATTGAATTTCAAACTATCTCTATATTTAACTCAAAACCATGTATTTTGAATCTTACTTCAACGATAATAATCATCGACTGTTTTAAGTTGTAGGCCTCTGTGTTTGTGACAGAGATAACTATTTTTCCGGAGTTTTCACCGGCTTTTACAACACCATCTTTGTCAACAACCACAGTCTTCGATGCTGGTGTTACATGAGTGTCTTCCGAGTCATTTCCATGCAGGGTCGACAGTACCTTATAGGTAGTTGAGCCATGTCTATCACGGTTCGTTTGAAGTTTTAAAACAGAATTGGGAGACATTAATATCACCGGTACACTTGAAGGCAATCCTGGATATGTTAAACGCAACTCTTCAAAAATTTCAACCTTAACAAATGTAGTAAACGTTATGTCATTTTTAAAGCCTGCTAATATATTAGAGGGCATTGTAACATTTAAATAAATGGTCGCCAGTCCTGGTCCAACTGCCTTGGCTCGCAAAGATACTTCATTTTGGTATCTGATATTAATACCAGTCCCCTCGTACATGTTGTGTAAAGTGATCAAATTAGAGTCACTGGAAGACCACATAAAGATCAATGGAAGTTGCATAGAGCCTATAATGAGCGGCGTTAAATATTCCGGGATTCCGAAAGCCCAAAGAGGAAACGTTGCACCAACTTTGATTCTACTTGTCGGCACAACAATTTTTACGCCTTCGAGGTACAACACGTGTATGTCGGCATAATCTTCAGAGTAGATGACTTTGTTTCCTTTAGCATTGAGTCCAATGGCCCTAACAATAAGTTTTGACTGACCAACTGCCTTCCCCTCGAATATGCCGTAACGATCGACGCTCAAAATATCATTACTTTTCGTAGAAAACTCAACCTCTGCATTCGAAGGACCTCCAGTGGTCTGGACTTGATAAACAGTTCCTACTAGAATCGTTAAATTCTTTGGAAAAACTCTCAAAGGAAGGAAAACTTGAATAGTTGCAGATTCACTCTGTATTTCTCTGTCGCCCCCTTTACTCACAAAAGTTAATTGTGATTCTCCTTCTGCCATGCCATATATCATATACAACAGTCGGCTATAAGGAGGGTTACCGTGTTCACTAGCAGGCAATTGTTTAATTTCTATACATTCGTTGTCAATCTCTGCTTTAAATTCCAGAGCATTTAAAGATGGTAATTTTATGATGTGACCGTTTGTGTCATAAAGTTCCAATGCAGCCACAATGCACTTTCCTTTCTCAATTTTGTTGACTGTCTCTATTTCTATGACTGCAAGCTGCTGCACTTCGATAATAGCCTCGGCCGATTTCGACGGCAAACATAGATCGACCAAGGCCAAATTCAATACTCCCGATTTCTTTGGAGCAATGCTAATTGCTTTAGTTGACTCTAAGTAGCGAATATCTGCTATGTCGTCAGCGCTTAATACAAATTCATAGTAACCAGAACCTTGACTGACCTGTAGATAATACTTTGCGCTGGGATCGTTCAATACCATCAACCTGTTAGGATTGATACTAGTATCATTAACTAAAACTATTTCTATGGATGCTTGTATACGATGGTAGATCTTTTTTTCAGTCTCGGTTGCAAAGGGTGACCACTCAGGGATGATCTTCAACTTGCTCAGAATGTACTTCTGGTAGCCCGTAACAGTAGCTGTTAATGCAAGAGAGCCAGAATGCTTTTTAAAATTAACATTTTGGTAGTAGTGCTTTGGTAAAACCACGTTCATGTCCGTGAACGTCTCTTCTATCGAACCGGAAGACATCTCTACAGAACCTATAGATGTGGGCTTCAAGTTCCAGTCAATCTGTAAGCTGGTAATGTTATCGAAAATCCTACCCTCTTCGTCTTTCACGATAGTGATCAGTTTCAAGCTTTTATCGCTATGTGCCATTATTCTTTCGGTATTGAGACTGATAGGACAATTTTTACTGTTTTCAAATTCTGGCTGCAGATAAATATGTCTCGGTTTACCACAAATAACTCGCACCGTTTGTGTTGCGAATGTACTTTTACAATTCGGCAGCAAAGGAACGTTCGAGATCGTATAAGTTAAAACCACATCACCCAGAGCTTTGCACGTTACTTCGATTACCGATACCTTGTACAACCCACCCACAGAATCACCGTATTCTGTAACATCAATAATTTTGTTTTCGGACACCTCGACTTTCCGTAGATAACTCTGAGGTTTGTCAGACCATGGATGAGGTCCGCCTTTGAAAATAATTTTCCTCGAAGAGCCCACAGCCAGTAAAGTTTCTCTTCTATTCGGATGTACCACTTCCAAAGGTTCATAGGCCGATACGGTGATGTTATCGGTTAAATATTGACCATTAGCGTTATATACTACCGTTATTTCAGACGTGCCAACATCCATACTTGTGACTGCTATTACAGCACACGCGGTGCTTACGGGGTCTACAAGTTTACTGCTATTCTGTTTAAAATTACCATCCGGAATGTATGTTTCAAAATGAATATCTCCACAGTCGCTAAAAGGTATCTCTTTGGAGTCTGTTTCATTGATTAGTTTTCCATATAACGCAATATGAAGATAAATCGGTTCTCCTACTGCTGCTTCCATATTGTACTCCACCACTTTCAATTTTGACGGTGGGAGAACGTATACCTTTGCTGTATCTTTATTGTATTGATTCCGTGTCATTGCGACGCTTATTTCCGTAGCTCCCGCTGCTAAAATTCTAATTCCTCCGTTTTGAGATACTGTCACTGTAGACGGATGTCTGCTTGACCATACATATGATCCATCACCTCCGCTCGCTTTTAATACAATGTCGTAACGTGATTTAGCTTTGAAGTCCCATGGAACAGCCAATATTTTAGGCTGAATAATAACCGGAGTGTGAATCAAAAGTTCAGCTCTTGTAGTTGGATGCGCCGCGAGCGAGATCTTTTTGCCGTGCTTATCAATTATACCATAAAGTGTAGCTTCGATAGTCATTGTCCCACACATAATGGGTACACCGACAGCGTAAGTGCCATTTTGAGTTATTAAATTCGTGTCGAAGTGCTGTTCATCTATCTTCATCGATACCTCCACACCTTCTCCGATATGAAACTTATGGTCTTTGCTGTCGTACAATTCAACTACGATCTCGTGAGTGTGGCCAAGAATCAAGCCCCAATTTCTGTTAGGTAAAACTGCAAGAGTAATGTAGGCTACATAGTTCACAGTAACTGTAGCGGATGGCAGAATAACAGGATATTCATCGCGGACGTTTTTGTCATGCAAAAAGACTTTGGTGCGCCCTAAGGATCGAGCATAAGCGCAATCGTGATCATTGTCGATTTCTAGTATATCTGGATTCTCAGCTTCTAAATAATACTGACTGGATGGTAAGCTTATTTCTTCTAAGCGTCCCTGACGAGCTTGCATTATTTTGTATTTAAAGCTATCGTGTGCCATTACCGTTATGTCCGATGGAATGATAATTAAATTAGCTATGACAATCAGTTCTACTTCTATTGGTGGTACATGTTTGTATTCTGGATATGGTAATTTCACTGACACTTTCGCAGTACCAGTTTTTATTCCTTCCAATAGTACGATATGCCCCTTCTTGCCAACTGCATCTAAAGCAGCAACGGTTGGAGGTGTTTCATACTGTGACTCCTGGTAAGTCATGAATCTTAAAATATTGCTTGCAACTTTAACATCGGAGATCCGTTTGTCAGCATTTTCTATGGTCCAGAGGAATTCGACTCCAGCTAGAGTTGTGAATTCATTTCCTAAATTGGAAAATATGTAACATAATTTAATAAGCATAATAATCTGAAAATTATATAATAAATAGATCTGAATAAAAATGTTTACCTTGTTCATCATAAGCTCTTACTTCAAATGCTTCTGGTGCTTCTTCTATATATAATTCTCTTGTAGTTGTAACCAAATTCAAAGAAAAGATTGCATCTACTATAACGTCGCATCTTAAAAACTGTCCCGTATTCACATCCTCTGCCAATACTATTGCAGTATTTCTACTGGACTCTCTTGTTATTGTTTGAATCAGAATAGCCGATGAACAGGTCCTCTCTACATTCTCGTTTATGGGAATTAGCTGAATGATATCTACGCGAGATGTTGACCTAAAATTAATGCATAAACTTAGCCGTATAATCAAGGAAAGTAGTATATTTTACATTAATAGAACCTAATCAAGGATGTACAATAAATATATCACGAATTCCAGTTTCTTCTTTCATATGAATTTGTAAAATAAACATCACATGCATAGGCTATTGAAGGTTATATGAGAAAGTTATCTATATGTATATACATATATATGTATGCGTGTATGAAAACAAACTAGACAATTAAAATATTGATAGTAAGAGTGTGTTCTCAAGTGAACGAAAGTTTTATGAAATTAAATAATAGATTCACAAAATTAGAATAACGAAAGACGACTACCATTGATAACAAGCACCATCGGTCACTTCTAGCGTGAAATTCACAGCAAAATCATTAAATACGGGCAATAGTACTCTGGGCACGTTTAATCTGTGCACCGTAGCATCTGACACCACACAAAATAAAACGAAAAATACTACTAATATCATTATTCTAGCGGGAACTGCCAGTCCTACAGCAATCCTCTCACGTGTATTCACTACGAGCAGCTAAAGTTGGCGGTCTCTAAATAGCTTTCAAACCATAATGCATTTCTCGATACGACTATCGATACCTGTAGTCGATTTTTACAAATTGTATTGTTTCGAAGCAATTCAAGATTAGAAAATATGTACATACTCTGCGATTTTATCTCGACTGTTCAGACGATTCTCATTCTCATAGAGAAACTAAACATTATTTTCAGATATTTTATATGCCATCATAATGATTTTCAACTTTCATTCACAACGTGATTTCGCGAATTTCTTTTTACATTTATAATTAAAAAATCTAGAAGAGATCATGTAGCAACGTTTTTATAATAATTTTTTTGCATATTTGAGTTATAATTAATTAGTTATAAACAATTTTTGATTTCATGTTGCAATATTAAATATCGTAGCATCTTTTGCCGTAGAAAATAATATGAAATCCCCAAAAAAACGAAATTCTCTGTGCTTACAAATGGCCGAATAGCGCCAATCCATGCAGTGGCACAATGCCCAAGCTATTCTGCATATTACCCACTCAGAAGTTCTACCACTTATTTTATTCAAGATACATTGATGTAACTTATGATACAAGAAATTTACCACGAGCTGCACAACGATTATCGACATGCAACTGCCTGTCGGTAATTTGGCGAAGAGTTCGAATGTTTTGTCACTGCATGAATTGGCGCTATTCAGACGTTTGAAAGTAACAGAAAATCCATGCCGGAGTTTACATTAGTTTTTATGAGAAAAACGGTACAAATCAATTGTTCTCATATTCAAGATTGAAAACAAACTGAAAACCTTTCATAGCTAACTCTAACTGAAATATATATAATATATATAATATATAATATATATACATGTATATATATAACAATATAATATAATATAATTAATTATATAATTATGGATAATTATTATATATAATATAATATAAAAATTATTTTATAACTTTACAAAAAATTTAATGCGATTCAAGGATAACATCAATAGTATAATAAAAATTATAATATAAAAGTATAATAAAAATCTTAGCAATTAATTTCATCACATTAGTTGCTGTTTAAATAATTTTCTGAGCGGACTGTTTGAAATAGAGTTACAACAGATTTTATTTATTAAATTGTTTTATTGTGCGATTCTCATGCAATCAGTACACGCGACCTCTTATCGGGGTATAATGTCGTATATCAATATTCGTATATAAGAACATGGTCACAGCCACATATTGCTAACAGGACCTAAACCCTGCTAATTTCACTTAACGATATAAGGTACTGAGAATTACATAAAGCGAGAGAGTGTCAGTCAATGGATTTTTTTTTACAAGAATCACCGTCAGAAAAGCCTTCCGATTTAATGACGGGATTACAGACTGATTCAGAACTCCACGTCCATTCGTTTACCTTAGCTTACGGAATATTTATGAATTTTTATATCGATGAAAGAATACAAATATTCTTGAACTTCGCGCAGTCCTAGGCCAGCTTCGTAATTTTTGCGTTCCAAAGTTCGTTGATAAGGATCACCAGCAAATCAGTAATCGCGTGCTCGTCGAATCTCGCATTAAGCACAGTTTCCCGAAATTCCAAGTTTCTAGCCATTGCATTTTCAATCGAATTTTTCAATGTTCAACATCACTCGGAAATCTCGAAAGTAGAGGTGAAAAGAGGGTTGGGAAACTTATATCCCAAATAATGGACAGTCGATGACCCCGTGGATCAACTTCACTTTGATCCATACTTTGAGTTCGAATAGTTTCGATCGTCCGACGGTCACATGCTTCCGAACGCTTTACGACCCCTCGTGACGGACAGCGAGACAATGACGACACTTAAAACAAAGAAGACTAGTCCGAAGAAGGCGGTTACAGCTCTGCACCATTGTCGCTTCCGTTTCGCTTTCGCGATCGCTCGGCCCAGTCTCTCGGCTCGAGACACGTCCAGCGTGAAGTCCAAGTCACCGGCGAAACCGCGGAACCGATTGTCCCAGTTGCTTTTGCCGGAAGGGACCACTATACCCTCGCTGGACGAACCGCCGTCACTGCACTCCAGCTGCTGAAACATCGGTTTTGACGCGTTGGTTACAGTGACATTGGGAAGATACGTTTATATTGCAGAGCATTTATATTATATTATATTATATTATATTATATTATATTATATTATATCTGTCTCTTATACACATCTAGATGTGTATAAGAGACAGATATAATATAATATAATATAATATAATATCTGTCTCTTATACACATCTAGATGTGTATAAGAGACAGATATAATATAATATAATATAATATAATATCTGTCTCTTATACACATCTAGATGTGTATAAGAGACAGATATAATATAATATAATATAATATAATATCTGTCTCTTATACACATCTAGATGTGTATAAGAGACAGATATAATATAATATAATATAATATAATATCTGTCTCTTATACACATCTAGATGTGTATAAGAGACAGATATAATATAATATAATATAATATAATATCTGTCTCTTATACACATCTAGATGTGTATAAGAGACAGATATAATATAATATAATATAATATAATATCTGTCTCTTATACACATCTAGATGTGTATAAGAGACAGATATTATATTATATTATATTATATTATATTATTATATTTATATTATACTGCAGAGCTGGCAAGAAGACCATCTGAAAGAACCTGATTGATTTTTAAACCTTAGCGCTCCGAAGGCTCCGCTACGGAGATATTTGTTATTTGTTCCGTAACTCCGAAGGCTCCGCTGCGGAGCCAAATGTTTTTAGCATACGTTATCGTCGGCGTTAGTAATTGTTATCTGTAGTTAAAACGTGTCAAGTCTGTAGCATTACGATTAAACCATTTTTTGACCTTTTCTATGGTTAGCAACATGGAGAAAAATAAATATTATGATGAGAATTTAGAGTCGAGTGATACCGAAGACGTATTTGATTTTGAAGAGTTAAAAGACATTGTGGAAGACAATGTTGGTTATGATTCTGACACTTCGAGTAGTAGTAGCGAAATTATACTACCAAAGAGACGAAGAATGAGAATTATTGAAAGTGAAAGCGAAGATTCGTTACAAGACTTGGATGAATGGCGTGATGTTACGGAAGAATTACATATTCCAGATAGAATACCTTTTAGCGTATTGCCACAGGTCATTGGACCACAAGTTCCTACAAACATTGAACAGCCGATACAATATTTTAAATTATTTTTCACGGACGAATTGATAAATGAAATTATAAAGGAAACCAACAGTTACTCAGAAAATGTTCTAAACTTGAGAGAAATATCTAGTAACTCTATTTGGCAAAGCGAATACTGTGACACTTGTCCAAGTAAACCCAGAATGCACATGGGAGATTGTTACCAAAGATATCACACCATGGTGAATTACAAAATTTAAAATTTATCTTTTATTTACGATAGGAAAATGTATATTTATAAAATAAATAAAATCAAATGCATTTGCACAAGGACGTGTAATCTTTTCCACTCAAAACAAGACTTCCTTTATCTCAGGCGCTCCGTTCCAAAAATGTGTCGGAGTTGCTGGTAGGCAGTACAGTAATGTCTTCCTTACTGACGCTCAGATTGTCCACTAAAATGGATAATTTGGGAAGAGGAGGCACGATTATTCGAGTCTCGCGGCTCGTTTTTATAATTGTGGACAATTTATAACTATAAAAATAAACCGCAAGGCTCGAATAATCGTGTCTCCACTTCCCAAATTGTCCATTTTTGTGGTCAATCTGGGCGTCAATTAGAGAGACATTACTGTACTCGAGAAACGCGCGGAGCGCTAAGAGTTAACAATAAAGTTTTCTTACCAACTGTGCATAGTATCGTTTTGTGTGCGAAAATGTCGATCGCAATCAACCGTGAAACTTACACGTAGAAAAATAATGACGGGCCAAGAGCAACCCGGACAAGGAAAACGACTCGAAGGAATACTATTATATCGATGCAACGTCCATTATTTTTACGTAGACTCAGCGTTCGATGGTCGGGTACCGATCCGACTTCCGGTACCGCGGTTTCACTCACCGTTGCGTATTCTGGTTCACCGTGGCCGAGTTTGTTACGGTTCTCCTTTTCCCCGTTCAATCCGATCGTCTCTTTCGCGTCCTGCCCGATCCTGCGATTCGCATAAGCGTTTATCACCGCCTGGCGGTTCGGTCTGCTCGAATTACAGTTGCAGCTGATTACGCGGAACCCGGAAAAAGGCTCGGTCGGATCGTTTTGCACAGCTTTACCCTGAACGTCCTTCTGGAACACCGGGGACGCGATCCCTTTCTTATCGGCAGCGTTCCCGACTCCGGTTTCCTCGTCGCCCTTCGACGAAGACGAGGACGACGACAGGAACCTGTGGTACGTGTGCTCGCAGGTGCACAGGGACGTGTACCAGCCAGGGTTGTGCAGGTAGAAGTGCCTGGTGTTCGTGTACAACTTCGAGTTCACCGGATTGATCCTCGACGAGCTGGTTCGGTTCCCACAACTGAACAGGGAGGAGTTTTTGTCGCCGAGCAGCGTCTTCCCGGGTAGAAAAGACGAGTTCTGATGGTAGACGTACTCGTAGATGCCGCCCTTCAAGCCGATCCCTTGGGTGACCTTCTGCGAGATGCTTTGCAAAATCTCCTCCGGCGTCATCGCCGTCTCCCCTTCTATCACAGAGTTTAGAGTTTGGGACAAATCGAGGAGGATCTCGTGCGCCGTCGTGCCGGCCGTTTTCTCGTAGTCCCGGTCGCAGTGCGAGTACGCGTACGCGCAACCACATCCGCAACAGGCGTACAGTGCTGAAATATTTTCACATTATCGTCAAGATGTTGGAGCGCGAGATTTCTTTGTCCTTTTTTTATTAGGTTGAAAACTATGAAACGGGCGTTTTTGGTTAGTTCCGTCAGTTCGTGCGGTACATACAGGGTGTTCCAAAAATGTCTCACAATGCGGAAATGGCGGGTTCCTCGGATCATTTGAAGCAACTTCTTCCTTCACAAAAATGTTCTCCGAGGCACCGTTAACGAGTTATTAACGAAAAACAGTCATCAATAAGAATAGAGTACGGCTGACGCGACCAACCAGTGCACGAAGCTCAGTTCCGCTCATTGGCTCGGTCGCCTCGCGCCAGCTGAGCTCGCCTCACATTGGTCACCGTTTTTCGTCAATAACTCGTTAATGGTGCCTCGGAGAAAATTTCTGTAAAGAAAAAAGTTGCTTCAAACGACCCGAGGAACCCGCCACTTTCGGATTGCGAGACATTTTTGGGACACCCTGTATAAGTCCAATTTTTTTACTTTTGTTTATTGCACGCAGATGTTTCAACACAGCCGTATGGCTAGTTCCTAGCTTAGTCCCAAGTTTACGAATAGTTGTGTCCGGATCGGATTCCACAGTCGTCCTTAATTCCTCGTTATCAATATGGACCGGGTGGTCTTCCTCGAGGCTCATCGACGATGCTCAAATTGCCAGAACAAAATTTTTCGAACCAATATCGAGCATTCTTTTTTCATTGGTGGATCCGTCTCCGAGAGCTTGATTAATGTTTCTCGAAGCTTGAGCTGCGCTATGATTCAATTTGAACTCGTACAAAAAGAAAAGTAGATGTAAATCGCGTTTTGTTTCCATCTGGATATTTCGGAGAAATATAAAATAAAAATGGAACACAAGCATGAAAAAATTTTACAAAGTAAGTAAGAAGAATACCTTTAAAATTTATAAATAAAAATATCGAGCGCACGTTGCGAATCTCTCTCTCTCTCTCTCTCTCTCTCTCTCTCTCAGTCGCAGTTGTACACAGACTGATCAAAAACGCCCGTTTCATAGTTTTCAACCTAATAGTTTCATGTATGCTATTTACCATCGTATTCGGGAGTCTCGTCGGTCTGGCAGAGTTCACGCAGGCCGGGAAACGCGGAGGGCCAGATGGGTCGCGGGATCGCCTCGCTCTCGTGGATCACGGCGAGACCGCCGCCGAACTGGTCCTTTATCGACAACGGAACGGTTCGGAAGAAGGCCTGGCCAGGAACAGCCGACGCGTAGCAGGAGTACGAGCCGGCGGACAACGGCGGCGAGTGGCTGGAGTAGCCGGAACTGGTCGACGTCCGGCAGCATCTTCTCGAATTGTTCCTCGTGGTGGTCGTTGCCGCCGACGAGCCGGCCACGAATCGCGAGACCTCGGCGTCTATCGAGTCAGGCTCTATCCTGCGTGCGAACGGACAGTGTCGTTAGAATCCGATCTACGCTATGAAAGTGGACGGTGCAAGTTCGCTCGACTAAGAGGCAGGCTATTGCTGAAACCGCGTTCGCATTGAATTTTACGGTCCGCTGGCGAGGAACGGTCTTTACCATTCCGCCTCGTGCAGCTCGGTTCTCGGGACCGCGTACAGGCTGTCGGGATTGCAGCCGTACCGCTCGTTCGGTAGGTGTAAGGCCAGCTTTGCGCCATCGCCGTCTGTTCTGGGGCTGTTCTGGTTCCCAGCTGGAACTGCCAAGGCCGTTGCGATCGCGGCACTGGAACAGAATTTCTTGCGTTCCAGCATCCCCTGATACGGTCCAACGGTATCACCTATGACCAATCACCAATTCGTCACAGTCGAAGCTACCATCGCGAGTCTCCATGCTCCTCCAATCGGGCTAACCGTGCTAACCGTGTTCCCTACATAGCCGCATAATCTATGTATATTCCGATCGTACAGCACGTTCCCAAAACCCGTGGAAACGTACCCCGATGGTTCGTGGTTAACGAGGATGCTACCACCGCATGGATTAGACGCTGGCTCGTCCAGGGCTAACAACCACCGCTGCATACTCTATCCTAGTGCCTGACAGCTGACCAACGCTGCACGCTGTCGTCATTCTCTCCCTTGGCTCCCTTGGTTCACGATCAACGTCGACATCTCATCGTTCCTCTTTGCATTCCTCGTTAAGCGACAGCCCTCCTGAAAATGCAAAACAAAGTCCCGATGAAATACGTACGTAAATACAACGTAGACATAACGTATTAGGTTCGGGAATAAGTTCGTAGCGTTTCTATATTTTCTTTTATTTTACAACGATCTTTTGCTGTTTTACAAAGTGTATAATATTCATTCGATAGAGCTCTTTCTGCTCTACAAAACTGTGCTGATCGTCTTGTTGAGTAATTTAATTTTTTATTACTTTCGAGGCTTAGAAATGGAATATCCAGGTAGGTGAAAAGCAACATTTTCGACACCCTCTCCTCTTCGCTTTTCATCGAGGCCAAAAAGCTGCCGAAGCAGTCCGGGACATTTGCAACGTATACGGAGAAGGTGTCGTAGGCGAGTCTACAGCATGGAGATGGTTCGCGAAGTTCAAAAATTGCGATTTTGACGTCGACGACACGCCCCGCAGCGGAAGACCTTCTGAATTCGACGAAGAGCGTCTCGAAGCACTTTTGAAGGAGGACGGTCATTCAAACGAGTCGTGAATTGGCCGAAAAAATGAACCGCGATCATAAAACGATTCTCAATCATCTTTATTCAATGGGATTTGCCGAAAAAATTGGGAGCCTGGGTGCCTCGCGAGCTTAACGAAAACAACAAAGAAAATAGTCTTTGATAAAAACGCTACGAACTTATTCCCCAACTCGATAGATATCAAATGTCGGGCGTGTACGCGATGACCAAAATCGAAACGCATTATGCGCGCGACACCGAACGAATATGCGTTTCTCGGGCCTAAGTGGTTTACATGGGTTGGCGGAGAAACGACCGATCGTAAAGGACGTTCGGTGTCCTTTTCGGAAACGGTTTCGTTCTCGTAACCGTGTTAGCGCCGAGCCACGGATATCTGCATACGCGCGTATTTTTGGATTCCTGATCGACGATCAACCTGGATTCCTCGGGACGCTCGAGTACCGGTCTCCGTGTGCCCCTCTTCGCCTCTCATGTTTTCCACCCCACCTTTGTCTTCGCGCGAACTTATAGGTGTCGTAATCGTGAACGTCTGCACAATATCGCGCCCGGTAATCGAGCGAGATCATTGTATTCTCGACTTGTCGCTGGTCCCTTCTTCCATATTCAGGACTAACCTTTAGCGTGGCGCAATCGAAACGACGATCCGGCCACCCGATCATCGTCCTCTCTTTGCATGTTAGCCGCTGAAGAATCGTCGATTCGACCCGCGAGGCTAAGTTGCGTGTTTCACGGTTGGGACCGTTTTTCAGAATTCTGTGAACATTTTCTCGAGCAAGTACAGTAATGTCTCCCTAACCGATGCTCAGATTGTGCAGAAAAATGGACAATTTGGAAAGAGGAAATACGATTATTCGTGTTTTGCTTCTCGGTCCGCCGGTCCAAAACGTTCGGGGATCCCTCGATTTCCCGTTGATTCTGCTATTTTTCATCCTATCGTTTCGTTCGCTCCGGATTTCATTCGAGATTAGTTTATTATCATAGAACAGCGCGAAGCATCTGTACGTATCGTTTCATCGCAAGTAGGCACATCGAATTAAGCTCTCGATAATCAGACGAAAATCTGTACGCACAGCCTATTTTATTCCATTTCATTGTACGGACTATCCGCTTTGGTAAAACGGTTCTACGAACTCTGCGAAGTCGTGAACTTGTTTTCAACGATCGCAACGATCGTTGCCCCGTTACTTTAGGGCAACCGCGAACAGAGCAAAGCTAAAATTATATGACGCCTCCATTTACGTTCGTCGTTCCCTTCTACTATGGTCGGAGCGCTGCATTGTACATATTGAACAACTCTACCTGTACCTGTACATATACGCACGGTGATCGTTTGAAATTCGCGGTCGTAATCAAAATGAATTATTTACGAGCTTCTGGTAAAGCGAGTACAGTAATGTCTCCCTAACTGACGCTCAGGTTGTGCACAAAAATGGACAATTTTGGAAGAGGAGACACGATTATTCGAGCCTTGCAGCTCGTTTTTATAATTGTTCACAATTCGTAAGTATAAAAACGAACCGCAAGGCTCGAATAATCGTATCTCCTCTTCCCAAATTGTCCAATCTTCTGCACAATCTAAGTGTCAATTACGGAGAATTTATTGTAGAGTAATGTCTCTGTAATTGACGCTCGGATTGTCCACTAAAATGGATAATTCGAGAAGAGGAGACACGATTATTCGAGCCCCGCGGCTCGTTTTTATAATTGTGGACCATTTATAACTATACAAATAAACCGCGAGGCTCGAATAATCGTATCTCCTCTTCCCAAATTCGCCATTTTTGTGGTCAAACCGAGCGTCAATTAGAGAAACATCGCTGTACATTACTCTCGGACAGACAAATCGTCTCGAGACTGCAACTCTACCGAGAGAGATGAAAACAGAAAAAAGGATTAGCGAGCCAGGGTCTCGATCAGCGGCTACTCCTGACATCATCGAACGGGTTCGACGGACACGTCCGAGAAGAAGGATTGTCGGCATTGATTCATTATCGCCCGCGCGGCTTTCGCAAGAATTTATTAAGCGACCGTTTCGTCACTCTAACGCCGCGGCGGCGCCTTTCGTTTTCACCCAGCGGCCCGTTCCATGGATTTGTAATTCTAATTTCACGGTTAGGCCCCAACGAACGCTGGATAACATCCGCGGCCTGACCGCGCCGCGATTTTTCTCACCCCAAAAAGGAAACTACGCCGGGAAGATCGACCGATTTATCGATCGGTTGGACCCCGTCGGGTCTTCCCTGGCAGATATATATTCGTCGGACGAGCCGTTTAGTATTGATGCGGTGGATGATCCATGTTTCAAGGTCGCTTTCACATTCGTCATGTTCACGTAAGAAATTGGACAACGTGGAACGAGTATTACGTTATTCAGGACATTCCACGTCGCCGCGGCAGGAATGTAGGGTAATGTTATATTTCTGTAATGTAACGCCGGTTAAAGGAGCCATCGAGATCGGTATCTCGCCGCGGGATCGCAGCTAAACGTGGCCGTAAAACGTTCGCGGACGGTTTAATTTCGACTAGCCGGTTACGATTGCTATTGAAAGCTGAACATTCGAGTTCTCGAGTCAGTAATCACGGTAATAACTCTATTCGCCGCGTATCGGAGATCCTTGTCCCGAGTCCGAACGTCTCCTAATCTGCAATCCTAATCGAACAAGTCCGTGCATGCGGGGGACGCCACCCCTACACGAACCATTGCGCTTCGAACTTCGTGTAGAAAATTATGAACTCTGCACAGTATTAATCCTTAACGGTCCAATGCCGTACACGCGGCAGAAATCGATAAAACCGTCAAATCTGGCAGGAAACATCGGAAGGATAGGCACGATTGTTTCGATGAAAATATATCAACGAAGTTTTATTTTCTAAAAAATGAATATCTCTTCTCTATATTCGATACAAAAATTTTCAGCAAAAAATTTCTCTTTGTCTGAAAGAACAGTCCGGACTTGGCAGTGTGTAAACTGGAAATAAATAGTTTTGGCTCCCCTAAGGGTTAAATATTATACACAACGCGCTACTAAATATTCCCTATATATAATATAAGGATATATTATATTATAATATTTATATATTATATTATTATATAATATTTTTTTATTATTTATATAAATATATTATAATATATATTATATATAATATTATAATATAAATATATAAATTTATATAAATATATTTATTCCTTCGGGAACGAAATTATCTGACCGCGGTCCTACATACTACAACCAGCAACCAGGAAAGGGACGTCGACGATGAAAGGATTAACTTTGTGCTGAAACTTTATGAAACACGATTCTCAGTGGCGAGTACAAGTTCTGCGAGTACGAAGGCTGTCGGTGGCAGCCGCGTGGCAAATTCTGGAGGGAGGGCGATCGAAGAGGGTTGTAAACAGAGCTAAGGAGAAGTAGAAGTAGAAGAAGAAGAAGAAGAAGAAGATGATGATAAAGAAGACGAAGAAGTCGAAGAGAAGGAGAGACGGGCCGCGCGCAGCCGCCGAGGTGACTCGTAAGCGGGCAGGAGAGCGGTGGTCGGCACGCAGGACGCACGACGCACGACACACGATGTGCCAAAGTAGCCTGTTTACTTCACGAGTTACAGGTACTCCAATTACCTAGTACCATTGGATCAGCGGCGCAGGCCGTAGCGCCCCGGCACTCCGCATTCCGTCACCTCTTGCACCACTTGCGCGCCTCCACTTTCACGTGGCTACGTCGTCGCCGCCGCCGCCGCCGCTCCAACGATCTTCACGTATTACACACGGTTGCACCCTGGAATGTCGATTGACGTTACAAAAGTCCTGTGCTTGGAGAAGAATGCGACTGGCGACTCGCGACTCGCGCGATCGGTCAGAAGATCGATATCACGCGGATATACCACGGCTCTGCCGGATTAAGCCGACGGCGTAGGAAACCCGTGGCGGCGGCTGCGGGGTTGCGCAACCGCGACGGTGGTTTTTCTCGAGCGTTGCCGAGGGAAAATGAATTTGACGAATCGACCGGATTGAAACCGGCAAGAAACAAACCGGACGGGGGGGGGGGGGGCAGACAGGGAAGAGAACCTATCGTGCAATCAATTAGATTCTGCCGGTGTAATCCGTAATCCGTTTCAAGAACGTCGCGTAACTTTTAAATGATTTCGAACGTAACCGCGGCTAGATTCCTCTTCTTCGATCACGGTTTAATTATCGATCGGAACGGCCCGCACGGGTACCGCGGAGGTACGTATACCTTCCAACGCGCGATTCTGCCTCTTCCCGCTTTCTCTGCCGATTTATGTCTTCGAACCGTTTTCTCGAGTTTGCTTCCTTTTTTAATCGCTGCCCGTTCCTTTCTAAATGGTTTCGCAACGCCAAATTCAACGGGCGCGATCGTAGGCAAACGCTCGTTGATCTTCTTCTATCGCAGTGGAGATCGTTCCAGTGATTAACCCTTTGCACTCGAGTGGTGACTCCGAGGCACCATTAAAATTGTTACATCACGTTTCAACATCATTTTTATATTATAAAATTAATA